GGGGCTGAGGGCAGATGTGATCGATAGATGCGTTCGTTTAGATTTGCACACACGCTTGAAGTGTCCTGTTTTTCCACAGTTTTTACAAACGGCCTCTCTAGCGAGGCACTTGGTACGGGGGTGCTTCGAATAGCTGCAAAAATAGCATGCCTCTTTAGAAGCCGCTGATAGAACGGATTCAGGGTCGGCGACGGAATTGGTCGAAGGAAGCCGATTAGTCGACGCACATGGAACGCTCTCTGATTCNGGTTGTTCCAGCAGTCTCGTACGAATGACATGAGATTGCAGTCTCGTTATGAAATCGTCGCAGTATTCTTCGGCTGAGGCGGCCCGAAAATGACATTCAGCGTTTTGATGTTTTGAACAAATTGGTATATGTTCTGCCCAGCGTCTTGTTTACAAGTAGAAAGTATGTACCGCGCAAACACAACGTTTTTGGGGCGAATGTACAACGATTCGAGCAGGGAGATAGCGTTCTCCAATGTCTTACAATCATAGATGTGTTCATAGACTGAGGGTGCCAGAAAATTGATGAGTAGGTCCAGATTGTCTGTGTCATCGGATTGAATTCGCTTTAGAAAGGCGTTGAAAGTGCGTATCCAGTAGGTCCATTGTTTGGAGGCGTCACGGGCGTTCAGGTCGACATCAAATTTGTCGGGTCGAAGATAACGGTCCATTATTAGTTGAATAAATTGTAACGTTTTACGAATCAAGCAAACGAGAGCGGAACAGAGAAGACTCGGAGTCGGAATTATACGCTTTACTCAACTAATAAATCCGGTACATGAGCTGTAATAGAAAGAGAGAGGTTTATGTAATACGCAATATAAGAGGGTGTATAAACAAGATAACCAGAATATGACAAGTGGCGAACCACGTAAGGCCCCGATAGGTTCGGTGTGGTAATAAACCGGACGACATCAGAGATGCCTATCACCAAAGTCGGATGGCGGTAGCGGGGCTCGAACCATAGGATCCGAAACAAGCCAGTGACAGCGACTAAACCACTGCGCCACCATCACCCAATGTGGAGATTGTATCAAAAACGGTAGAAAAAAGCAGTTCTTAAAGTTCATGGGGTTTGCTTTCCGGCCATGAGAACCCAGCACCTGAGCTGCATCAACAGGCGTGGAGGAGATAGTCACGGTATCCAGTGCGAAGTGATTTTCTGCCGGAAAAGTTTAAGTAACCAACAGTCGACTTCTTCCCCAATCGAACATGGGATTATTAAGTCATACCAAATACTCATGGATTAGATAGTGAGTTTTCTCGATGCTCCAAAGTTTATAAGGCCTGTGCTTCATCAGTATATTATTGCGAACGGCGCTGGTTTTTAAATGATGGTTCTTACTCAATTTGACACATCTATTAATCTGATTGTTCTTGAATGTGTTTTTATGCTGTAGTTGATTTCATAATCCGTTTTGTTTATTTTCTGCTTTTCGTTGAATGCGTTTTCGTCAAATTCTCCACTGTTGCATTTGTTTTTACTCAGATTTTTGCCAAACCCCTCTACCAACTGCCTTGGCCACGCGTTCGCTGTCCAAACTTCCTTCCGGCCTTCCAGCTTCACCCCTGTTTCGTGGTTCCATTTCTCCGTTGAATAAAGTTCCCAGCTCATTTGCCTTCCTGATTAGCGAAACTGAGTACCTGAGCATTTCACTGACTCCGTTAGACTATGCATTTGACTATGACCCTCTCATACCCCGGAAGTCCAACAAATCCAACAATCCGGACTTATCCACAACCTCGAATTCGAATGTGAATCTCAAATCCAGTTGTACTGTGAACAATGCAACCGTCATTACACCAACCAATTTGGATTCTGGGGACAGTATCCATCTCCTTTGCCCAGCGGTAGTAACAGTTGGCACGCTTCATCATTTGCTCCTCGCCAAATACCAGCTAGATCCGGTTCGTCAGGTTGTCGATATTTACCTAGGTGACGAATGTTTGGAACCATCGCATAGTTTGCGTGAAGTTGCTTTCTTGTACGCTTTTCCAGCGCGAAAAGAAAGAATGTGTCTTGTGTTCGCATTCACAGAGGCATGTTTTGCCTGGTGGGGTCGACCAATGCCTCGTCTTGAGCGTCCCAGACAGAAAGACCCCATCCCAAATGGATGGTCTCATCCTCGACATCGACGCACCTCTTTATCGCCCGAGCAAACACCACCAAATCAAAGCCACCACCACCATCATCGTGTTCGTTCGAAAAGCGNTGAACATTGCCATTTGGTGGACTCCACACAACTGAGTACAAAGCGCAGTTCATTGTAGGCAGACGCATTTCCAAGCCAGGTGCAAATTGAGCTCTATTTTTACAGTCCGCTCTTCGCTTGCTTATCCTTCCTTCCCCTTTCAAAAAGTTCGCCATTTTTCATTCGTACTTGATCGCTGTTCCTTCATCTCTCCTATTCCATCTTGTATTCGATCACCTTGTCTACCGATCCCGATTCCTACCTCACCATTTTCGGTGTAGGATTTCTCGCCTGGTGTACATAGATTGACCTGTTTTCGTTTTCGTTCCTGGTCATGCATTTTGCTCAGTGAATTCTAGTGTCTGTACATATGCATATATATATTTCGGTGTACTCACGAATCTGCGTCCACATCATTCACATGCAACGTTTTACCCAGCTAGGGCTGTGTTACCCTCTTATTATCCACGTGACGCGCACTGTCCACGTGTTATTTTCAGTCTACATCTTTTTCTGTCTCCCTCAATGAGCGACCTACTGTCTTTCAGGCGTCATCATCCATGGACTCCATATTGTGACCGTTCAAGGCCCCCCCCATTTCGCCCGTTCGACGCGTTCCTCAAACTGTATACACTGCTGCCATTCAACTAACCCATATTACTCATGACTGGAATGCAGCGCATCGATTCAATTGACAACCATGTCACATAAATCGATTGATTTTTATTCCTCTGAGCCACATTTTCTTTTGAACTAGGACAAAGAATTTCGACCCGGTCTCCCTCTAGCCAAACACACACAAGCACACGTATTTCTCCTTCATCCCGTCCTATTTAACTACTGTAACAATTTGTGCAAGATATACTATACCAAGATTTGGTTTGCTTGTTTTTCATGGCTTGTTTGTACTAACTCTCTCTCTCTCTCATGGATTTCCTCGGTATTGCCACTAACCGTAACTGGTTCGAAATGCCTTCCCGATCAGTCTCCATGTTTCCGATAGCGAATTCTTAGCCCACAACTAGAATACTGTGCTATTTATTAGCGATTATTTTATCACCACGTCATTATACAACAGACGGTTTAGAGTGGTGCGAAGCAAGCCACAGGAAACCAGTTTGTTTAAATAAAATAAAAATTGTCTGTTAAAATCCATGAAACAAATTCGATTAATCACATTGGCCCTCGTTAGATTGGGTGTAAAATGATGCTTGTAACTAACTTTTCATCTAACCGTAGAATTTAACAAAACCGACCGTTTGAAATGAGTGAACTCATCTGCCCAATGTCAATCTTATTCTGTAGAAATCAGTCAGTTCGTTCGTTCATTCGGATAAAATTTCTCTGTCCTTTTTTGCACACAGAAAACAATTCATGGTATGAAATGTGTACGTGTAAACGTGGTTGTTTTGAAATCGGACACCAAATTGTTTTGTGTCTTACCAGTTGTTCCCCAAATTTATCATTATCTAAGCAGAAACAAACAACCGGTTTAGGTCTCTTACAGACTCTGCATCCGTGTTAACAGTCTATTAATTTAATAGATATTATGGGCGTATATATATATATATATGTATATATGTATATGTATATAGTATGCGAAGTACTCTGTTACTGTTTAAAATGGCAATTCGTGTTCACCTTCGTCCAGGCAACCATAGACGTTTCACAACGGGAAATCAGACCTTGGACGCTGTCAGTGCCAACTCAGCTGGGATGATAAATATTGTATAAAAATAATCGTGGTTATCAAATTCCTGCAATGACGAATTGCACTGATCGACTGGTGAAATACGCGAGCACCGTTACGCAGCACCTTTTCACATCCATCATTTACAGATTCATGGTTGTGACTAGTTGAGTTCACGCGGTGATGGTGTCGTGCCGAGTGATATGAGTTGACAGTCTTGTTTTCTTCTCGGCATCCCATCGAGTCAACTCATGATGGAGGGATTCAGAATGTACAAAGGGCTGACGGAGTTTTACCAAAACAAACACTAAATTGAGAACAGATGCGTAAGGAGCGAAAGTAGATGACTAAACGACACTGTTGACGGTACTGAGTCATGTCGCATAGTGGTCTCGACCACCACTCTTGGGCTCATCTCAGCTGCCCTTACCTGATAAATGAACACGGCCTACATGATCGAATCCACCTGGTTAAGTTTAATCACGTTTTAGTCAGGTCATGATCCACCCAGTCCTGATTTTTTTCTGGCCGTGTGCCTACCCCTTTGGTACGCGGAACACACTGACGAACTTCGCCCGGTCACACACGCCTAATCAATTTAATTTGTGCTCGTTTGAAAATCGGTTTATCTGTAATCCGGGAAAATTGGTGATTGAAATCTTAACAATTTCTTAGCAGTTTAACGGGATAGCCTCCTTGATTTCGAAAGTGAATGAGCTTTGTTCATCACAAGTTCACACTGGTTTTCCAATGAGGTTGAGATGGCTTTCAATGTGTGTTCTCGCACCAAGGTAAACTCACTTGTCAAGTGAGGTTTGAATAGAAATGTAAAATATAGCAACCCAGTTGAACACTATTTTTCGCGATGAATTCAGGTGCAATATCTCTAAAAGCCAAATCCGTTTTCCGTAATGTTGTTCAGTAAATGACTAGGGTGTGCGAGGTTCTTTGCTATTTCGCTCTAAGATACAGTGCAGTGGACTAAATGTAAAGCCTTTCTTTATTCATGGATGGTAACAATAGTCAGAATATGGCAGGATCTGTCTCATCTTTGCTCAGGAGTTAGTTACCTAAAACTATGTACGTGAGGAGTGCTTGTGTTTCGGGATACTACGAAATAATGCAATCGGGCGCAAAACCCGATTGTTTATCACTTGATGCCAACACCGTCAATTCGACCGCCTAATGGGTTGCTCATCATTCAGTTGCGCAAACCAAGACTGGGAGGTCGGTTTCAGCATCTTCTGTTCTCAACTTCCACCAAATAATCCTATCTATAAAACATCGGCAGTGCTCGCGGATCACGATTCACTGGTGTCGTTGGGGGAGCAGTGTTCAGTTTTCTTGTTCATTTAGACCAAGCCAACGAGGCCTTGGAACCTCACCGAGATGGTAATCATCTTTTTTGTTACACCTTTTCTTGTAAAAACAGCAGGTGGGGAAAGGCACGTAGTCACGTGAACCTGCTATTCAGTCTTGAAAACCGGCAGTCTAAGCCCAGGAACTTGGACGGGCGTAACACATCAGGTATGGCTATAGTTGTCAGTGATCGGTTACAACGTTAACAACTCTGTATACTTTGCGCAGATTCCCGGGCTTCATTTACACTCTAGAGTTGTATGCTAGGCTACTTTGTATTATCCAGCCGCTAACGTGTAATATTTAGCATCGGTAATTGCGGGCAAGTTTATTCAACTGCGGAACTCAATGAATGCTGTCAAACTTTCATCGCAATCGTAGACACTCGCTCACGTGTCTTGATGACATGACTGTGGGGTTTCGTCAGTCCTCATGGTACCACGTC